TATTTTTTGAATTATTGCTAAGGTGGGCATTTGAGTACTTGAATTATAGCTTTCCTTTCAGAGACTCTGGTCTCTGCTATATTGCAATGAACTTCGTTAAGAGTGAATGAAGGTATTGAATTAAAAATTTGTGTGCTTATAGAGCTATCACTCTTATAACTAGTATTTCTGTATACACTTAGTACCCTTTCCCCTCATTGTTTATAATGATTTTAAGGTTTTCTAGTGCCTGGGTATATGTCATAACATTTTAAAATGCTTTGGAAATAAAGAATGTTTATTTAACGTATCATAAACCTGTTGAAAAATTTTGCCACAGAAAATTCTAAGGGCGAAAATCTATACTTTGGCTTATGCCCTTTTAACTACTTATTTCCAAACATTATATGCAGACATTTGATAGATTTACTGGGTAAATATTATTAGGGTAGACTATTAAATTCATCTAAATTATGGAATTCAGTGGTGAATGATGATGATCTGTATTGAATGATTTAAGGATGAAAATCTACTTAGCACATGCTGTGCAGTTATAGTAGACACATTTTTTAAAAAAGTGTGAAATATTGCTTTATGTTGCTTTCTTGAATAAGTATTATTTACTTTTCAATTTAGATATTTATTCAACCATCTTTTCAGATGTTGGTGTTTCTTAGTGTTAAGCCCTAGGCCCTTGTTGGGAGGTCATATTCTTTATTTGCCCTCTGAATGATTTTGTACACTGTATGTATTTAGTTATTACCCATGCTGTAATGACTTATAATCTTGTATTACAATCCAGACCTTTTTCCTTTGGGCATACGCCCGTGTGCCCAATGACATTTCTATTTGTATGCATCCCAGACATCTCAAACTCAGTGTCTGCTGCTGAACTCATTATTTCCTTGTTTCGTGCCAAACATAGATGGGCAACTCCATCTATGCAGATGCCCATGCAGGAAATTAGGTGTCATCTTCAACTCTTCTTTCTCCTTCACTCCCCCATATCCCATTATAGGACACATTCACTCAGTTCCTTAGATTTCTTTCTCTTCCAGTTATCATAATATCTTTTCTGTGTAATTGCAGTAGCCTCTTGTATTGTTTAATCCCTTTAGGAAACTGTAGACAGAATTGCAGAGCTGATCATAATACTTCCTTGCCTTTGAGTGGTTCCCATTTGTCTCAGAGATCAAGTCTAAAGTCTACGATGTTCCTTCATGGTGCTGCCTACCTCTCCAGACTCCTGTCTCACATTTATTCCACACACAATCTGCAGTCCACAGTTTAAGCTCTCTGAAACCTTTTTAGTTCTTTCTGCCTTAAAACTTTTATATATGTTGCCTCTCCCTAGAATTCAATAAAATATTTATTGACTACCTACTGTGTGCGAGGCCCTGATTAGTAGTGAACAAGACAAGATTCTGTTCTATTGGAGCTTATATTTCAGTAGATAACAAAGGTAATAACTAGATAGATAAGTGAATGCATATATTAAATATAATGTCAAATGACAAATGCTATGAAGAAACACAAAGCAGGGAAGGAGCCCTAGAGGGTATGAGGGTGCTCGGTTATATAAGGGAAAGAACAACTGTTTTGGGGAGGTGGCATATGTACAGAGACTAAAAGAAGGGATGAAACAAGCCATTTGTCTATCTAGCAGGAAAGGATTCCAGGCAGAGAGAACACTTGGCAGAAACAGTGAGATGGTTATGTGCTGGGCGTGTTTTGAGGCTCAGCAAGGAGATTCTGTGGGAGGAGGTACTAGGGAATATTGACTTGAGAGGTTGCCAGGAGACAGAGCATGTGAGCCTTATGGCCCAGGGTGAGCCTTATGGCCCAGGGTAAGGACTTTGGTTTTATTCTTGGTATGTTTGGTAGCTCTGGAAGAATCGAGAGCAGTATGATCTGATTTATATTATTAAATCTGCTTATATAAATCTGCTTTGTAGAGAATAGAGTAAAAGGGTAGAGATTGGGAGATCAGTGAGAAGACTGTTAATAAAAATCCAGGCAAGAGATGGTAGTGGCTCAGTCTACAGTGGTAGTGATGAGAGGTAGGAAATGGTTGGGAGTAGTCTGTCTCCCATTTCCCTGTATATCCAATTTTCAGATCTCAAATTAAATACGACTTCTCCTCAGGTACTCTTCCTGATCTCGCTTAAACTGGGCCATGTCTCTCTGATACGCCTATCTTTAGCACTTTGTTCCCTGTTGTGGCACTTACAAATAAGAGCTGCTGCAAGGCTTCATTTGCATCTCCATGTCAAAGATTGTACCTTGCTTAATAAATATTTGTTGAGTAAGTTAAAAAGTCACCTCTAAGAAATCTCCCTTAGCCTCATGTTTAGCCCCCCTTAGGTTAGGAACATTTTCTTTGTAAACCCCAGTGTTTTGTAATTTTTTGTTTAATAATATGTTTATAAGATCTTTAAGGGAATCAGGGAGTATGTCTTGATTGCTTCCCCCTTGAATTACTAGCCACATAATGGTGCTCAGTAAACATTGGGGAGTTTTTTCCAGGGAATGAATATCTGCTTGTTTTTAAAATCACCATTACCTTGTCAATAGCACTATGCATTTTTACCGTTAATATTTTTATTTTTCCTTAGTGAAACTGATGAAAGTTGTAAAAAGCACCTTGGAAGAGTGTTATCTATTTGGGAAGAAAGGTCTGTTTATGAAAATGATGTATTAGAACAACTTAAGCAAGCTCTGTGTAAGTATATAATCTTGATCTTTTATCATGAGCTCTTCCTTAAAATATATTGTTTCATTAAAACTTAACTGTTCTTTTAATTCAGATGGTGATAAGAAGCCTAGGAAGCGAACTTATGAACAGATAAAGGTGGATGATAATGAAAACTGTTCCTCTCTGGGATCTCCAAGTGAACCACCACAGGTAGAAGTTTTTCTCTGTTAAAAGAGTTATGTTACTTTTACTTTGGTGCTTTATTAATTTCAATGTTTTACTTCTGTAAATTTTTATTATAATTTTGGGTACAAGAAAGAAGCTACATTAATTATCTCTTATTTTCTGGTTAAGAAATTGCTTATGTTTAATGTAGTATGTTGTGTATT